CTGCATTGTATTCCAACAACCTGGTAGCATTATATTACCCAAAAATGGATCCACCAACTGTAGAGATGATGTCCTCCTGGCTCCGAAATGTAGGAGAAATTCTGGGCACTTCCTCATTCCCATGGGCCACCACATCAGCTCTCAGGGGCAGCCCAAGAGATTGGTCCTCTCCTGCCCTTGTCAGAGGGAAAGGAAGCCCCAAGCACAGGCCATATGGTGAACTCTGGTTCTTTCTGCATGACCAGGAGGAAGACATGAAGAAGTGAGATGGTCAACCTACCTCTAAGCTGGAACCCTGGGTATGTGAATTAAGAAGGAAGAGAACTGTTGAGAAGGGGTCACCCAAGAAAACTGTCCATGTAGTTGCTGCAGAGACCCAAGAAAGAAATCAGTAACCTCTCAGACATAAAAGAACTGAAATCAACTCCTTTGATCCTGGTGAGGGGACTTCTGGTCTGGCATCACAAACATCAGGCAGTGAACACTCTGACCAGAAATAGGAATAGAGGGGTCCCACCTTCAGCCAGGAGGAGGAAACGGATGACTGGGCATATTGGACTGTGTGGATTCGATGGCCTGGCACATTGGATCCACAGAGGTATAGAGCTTTGGTAGATATGGGTGCACAGTGCACACTGATGCCATTGAGGCACAGAAGTGCACAACCCATCTGGATCTATGGAGTGACAGGGGGATGCCAGGAATTATCAGTGTTGGAGGCTGAAGTGAGTTTAACAGGTGACAAGTGGGAAAAGCACCCCATTGTGACTGGCCCAGAGGCCCCTTGTATCCTTGGCATTGATTACCTCAGGAGGGGATACTTCAAAGATCCAAAGGGGTATTGATGGGCTTTTGGTGTAGCTACCGTGGCTACAGAGAAGATCAAACAATTATCTACCCTGTCTGGTCTCTCAGAAGATCCTTCCATCGTGGGATTGCTGCAAGTTGAAGACCGACAAGTGCCCACTGCCACCAGAACAGTGCACCAATGGCAATATGGCACCAACCAAGACTCCATCATTCCCATCCATGAGCTAATTCATCTACTGGAGAAACAAGAAGTGATCAGCAAGACCCACTCACCCTTTAACAGCCCATATGGCCAGTGCAAAAGTCTAATGGGGAGTGGAGGCTGACAGTGGACTATCGTGACCTGAATGAAGTCATGCTACCTCTGAGTGCTGTTGTGCCAGACACGTTGGAACTTCACCATGAGCTGGAGTCAAAGTCAGCCGAGTGGTGCCAGTATTGATATTGCCAATGCATTTTTCTCAATCCCTCTGGCAACAGAGTGCAGGCCACAGTTTGCCTTTACCTGGAGGGGTGTCCAGTATACCTGGAATCGACTGCCCCAGGGATGTAAACACAGCCAAACCATCTGCCATGGACTGATCCAGACTGCACTGGAACAGGGGGGAGCTCCAGAACACCTTCAATACATTGATGATAACACTGTATGGGGCAAGACAGCAGAAGAAGTTTTTGAGAAAGGGAGGAAAATAATCCATATTCTTCTCAAAGCTGGTCTTGCCATAAACCAAAGTAAGATAAAGGGACCTGCATGGGAGGTCCAGTTCTTGGGAATAAAATGACAGGATGGATACCATCACATTCCCATGGATGTAGTGAACAAAATAGCATCTATGTCTCCACTGGTTAACAAGAAGGAAACACAAACTTTCCTAGACCTTGTGGGGTTCTGGTAGATTCACATTCTGGATTATAGTCAGCTTGTGAGCCCCCTACATCAAGTGACCCAGAACCATTTCAAGTGGGGCCTTGAGCAACAAGAGGCCTTTGAGCAGATCAAACGAGATAGCCTGTGCAGTAACTCTGGGGCTTGTTCGAACAGGACCAACTGTGCAAAATATCCTCCACATGGTAGCTGGGGAGCATGGTCTCACCTGGAGCCTCTGGCAGAAAACACCAGGAGAAACGTGAGGTCGACCATTAGGGTTTGGGAGCCAGGGTTATCGAGGATCAGAAGCCCACTACACACCAACTGAAAAGGAGATATTAGCAGCCTATGAAGGGGTTCGAGCCACCTCAGAAGTCATTGGGACAGAAGTATGTCTCCTCTTGGCACCGTGTTTGCCCATGCTGCACTGGATGTTCAAAGGGAACAGCCCCTCAACACATCATGCAACCAGTGCTACATGGAGTAAGTGGGTAGCTTTGATTACACAAGAAGTCAAAATGGGAAAACCCAATTTCCTGGGATTCCTGGAAGAGATTATGGACTAGCCAGAAGGCAGAGATTTTGAAGCATTGCCTGAAGAGGTGACTCGTGCCCAAGAAACACCACCATATAACAAGTTACCAGAAAATGAAACAGGCTATGCTCTTTTTACTGGTGAATCTTGCCGTGTGGTAGGAAACCATCAGAGGTGGAAGGCTGCTGTGTGGAATCCCACACGATGGGTTGTTGAAGCTGCTGAAGGAGAGGGCGAGTCAAGTCAGTTTGCAGGAGTAAAAGCCATCCAACTAGCCCTAAAGATTGCTGAATGAGAAAAGTGGTCTGGGCTATACTCTATACTGACTCCTGGATGGTGGCTAACGCCCTATGGGGGTGGTTACAGAAATGGAAGAAGGTCAGTTAGCAATACAGGGGTAAACCCATCTGGGTTGCTGCATTATGGCAGGACATCGCTGCACAGGTGGAAAACATGACTCTGAAGGTGTGTCACGTCGATGCTCACGTGCCCAAAAGTCGTGCCACTGAAGAAGATCAGAACAATGAGTAGGTGGATAAGGCTGCCAAGGTTGGAAAAGCCTAGGTAGACATGGACTGGGAGTGGAAGGGTGAGCTATTTATAGCCCAATGGGCCCATGAAACATCAGGACATCTAGTAAAAGATGCAACATACAGATGAGCTCATGATCGAGGGGTGGACCTGACCAAACAAAACCCCTACACACTGTGGGAGGGGATAAAGTCCCAGTACTACATATGGGGAAGTGGTTGGGGAAGTCAGCGTGTGTTTCTCCTCCCATGAGAAAAAGTAAACCTATTCATGGGATTGTCTTTGCTCAGGGACCAGGGTCTACCTGGTGGGCAATGCGGGAAGATGGGGAGACCTAGTGTGTGCCTCAAGGAGATTTAACCTTGGGGGAAAGATAATCTGTGTTCTGAGTTGTATGTTGCAGGAAGTAAAGTCACAGGACAATGAAGAGCAAATTCTGTGAGGAGTAAGGAGAGTGTGACAATGACCCGAAACTGGTTGGTGTTGGTGCCCAACGATCACTTACTTCTCCTGTCCTGAGTACCCATCCCAATGGAATGGAGCCCAAGATCTGGAGAGGTGGAAGAAGGCCATAAAATGAGATCTGAGAGATCTGCATTGGCAGCTAGAAAGGTGTTGATAACACACTGGTGTTTTGGCTACTGCTGAGCATCAGCACTGTAACATTCCTTCCTCAATCGAGGGCAAGATCCTTGGAGGGGACACAAGTAGGCCAGCTGACCCAAACTGACCAAAGAAATCATAGAATCATAGAATTAACTGGGTTGGAAGACACCTCTGAGATCATCAAGTCCAACCCTTGATCCAACCCCACTGTGATTACTAGATCATGGCACTCAGTGACACATCCAGCCTCATCTTAAAAACCTCCAGGGATGGTGAATCCACCACCTCTCTGGGCAGGCCATTCCAATGCCTGATCACTCTCTCTGTAAAGAACTTCTTTCTAATATCCAACCTAAACCTCCCCTGACAGAACATAAGCCCGTGCCCTCTTGTCCTACTGCTGATTGCCTGGGAGAAGAGACCAACCCCTACCTGGTTACAACCTCCTTTCAGGTAGTTGTAGAGAGTGATGAGGTCACCCCAGCTCCCTCAGCCTCTCCTCATAGGACTTGTGCTCAAGTCCCTTCACCAACCTGATTGCTCTTCTCTGGACTCACTCCAGCACCTCAATGTCTTTTCTGAACTGAGAGGCCCAGAACTGAACACAATACTCAAGGGGTGGCCTCACCAGTGCTGAGTACAGGGGAAGGATCACTTCCCTCGTCCTGCTGGACACACTGTTCATGACACAGACCAGGATGCAATTGGCCTTCTTGGCCACCTGGGCACACTGCTGGCTCATGTTCAGCCTCCTGTCAATCAGCACCTCCATATCCCTTTCTACCTGGCTGCTCTCCAGCCACTCTGTGCCCAGCCTGTAGCGCTGCGGGGGGTTGTTGTGGTCAAAGTGCAGGACCCGGCACTTGGCCTTTTTGAACTTCATCCCCTTGGAATCAACCTAACTATCCAGCATATCCAGGTCCCTCTGCCTTCCAGCAGATCTACACTCCCTCCCAACATGGTGTTGTCTGCAAACTTGCTAATATTCCATACCCTACGACATCAGGTCAGATATAAAAGCATGAAGGTGGGCATTCATTGTCTCCAATGGTTGTCTGCTGAGAAACCGTTATGTGTGCTGAAGCCCTGCTTCTCAGAAGTGGTCAACCAATTGCTGCTGATGGGAAGTAGAGAATAAACCATGTTATCTTTCACTTCGCTTTGTTTTTGTACGTGCAAGTTTCCACTTTGTTTTTGCTTTAAATAAACTGCCTTATCCCAAACCATGAGTTGTTTTCCACCTTACGCTCTCCCCTGTCTGCCTGGGAAAGGGAGTGATAGAGCAGCTGGGTGAGCACCTGGCATCCAGCCAAGGTCATCCCACCTCTGCTTCTATGAAATATAGTTAAATGGCATCCCTGAATGCAGTCTAATACTACTAATAACAACAGTGAGTTCACTGAGACTTTTCACATTTAGCACTAAATGCTAGATTTAAAATACACATAGCCCATGATTTTAATTTTTCCATATTTTATGTATCTCTGACTCTCACTGCTAATCTATAGCCACCAAAATCTTGCCAAGTCCTCACTATTTCTCAGGGCAAGTTTAAAAATGCTATTGTTATTTTTATATACACTCACCTCCCACCTATCGCGGGTGGGGTTTGTCCCCGCGAAAGACCCTCGGGCACATTTTGTATAGGAGATGAGCCCCCAGATAGGTGACTCACAAAATGGCGTTTATTAAAACAAGGTGTCAGTTTATATAGAGGGGTACATAGAAGGGTCTCGAACTAGGGTGGGATTCTTGCCAGGGGCACCGAATCCTAAGGGTCAGAGATAAGGGAAAATGGAGGGATTGACCGCAGGGATATGTCCAGCCATATAGGGAGATTTAGGAGTTAGGGAAGGAAGGGAAGGAATGGTGAGGGGCACAGATAGGGGAGTTCTGCAGGGGTCTGTGGAAGCGGCGTCTTATCGCTGGATCTCAGGCACTTCCTGCAGTTGCAGTTGTCAAAGCACTTCTAGATAGATTTCTTCCTCCAAGGTTTCTTCGTAGCCTTTCTGCATCTGTCTCCATTCTCTGTAGGCCTCTGCTGGTCCACTCCCGACACCCACCCACATTAATTGTTCCACTCTTTTATTCCTGCTAATAGAAATTATATATATCAATCAGCTTATATTTGAATTGATAGCATGGTCACAATAAGCATCACCATAAAAATTTTATTACTCTAAACAAAAATATTGCATTTAATGAAGTAAACTTGGACATTTGGATCTTTTTTTTTTGAGGATGGGGGTGGTTTTCAGGGGGATTATTTGGGGATTTTTTTACACATCTGAAACATTTTTGTACCTGGTACAAAAAAAGAAGGACTATTTGAAAATAAATTTTTTCTTTGCCCTACAGTTATTTTTAATTAGTGTTTATAAATAATTAAGTAATTTGTAATATATTATTTAGATGTAATGGTCTTAAGAATTTGAGTTGTATTTCAACTACAATTATAATAATTCATTTTTAAATATTTATGTTATAATATCTAATGTGTTTGATTAATAATTTTTAAATTATGAAAACATAAATACTGTGTTTTCTTTTTTGCTTCATTTTATAAAAAATACTACTTTTAACTACAGGATTAGAATATTCTATAGAAAATAAAATATTATTCCTAGTAGAATGTAAGTGAATTTAAGTATAATTTACAATAAAACCCTTGAGTGTCTCTTTTAGATTATTGCATCAGTAATCAATGGTAAACAGCAATGCAGGCAAGACATGGAAGGTTTCTGACTTGTCAGTGTAAACACACCAGTGACAGAGGTTACTCACTCTTAACTCAATTGTACTATGAATCTTCCCTTAGCACATGACTTCTTTTTGAGGTAAATGGGGTAAAGCTTATGGTTGCTGTAGTGAACATTTCATGAAAGTGCACGTGTACATATAGATCATAGATTTTTTAGCATTTAAACTTACATATGTATACATATACACACAAACAAGTTTGAGGTCATATGCCAATTCTGTTCATGTATGTTTCTAAAGTAAAAAGATAATCTACATAGCTGTCATATGAAACTGATTTATGCCATTTGAGAATTATGTGGATTTAGAGGAAGATATAAATTATTATTCATATATTTCCAACAATATTTTTATGACTACTGGCAAAATATCGGTACCTCATAAAATCCTCAGTACTTGACTAAACAAGAACCTATAAAATGTAGGCTTACATCAATTACAGTCATAGAAAATGAGGTTATAATGGTCTTTTTTGAAGCAAATATTTAATACAAAAAAAGGAGTGAAGAATTAGTTCCACTTCCATTTCAGTTGGTAGCACCACAAGATTATACTTTTCTATGTACCTGCATAGAATTTTACAGTACTTCAATAGAAATTGATTTCTGTGACAGAAAACATCTAAAGGTAATAATTTATATTTATACAAAAAAGTGTTAATTTTACATTTTTGGATGTACCACAACTGCTGCTGATTTAGGTGAGAAAAAAACCCACACATGTACATTCTATCCTTATTGTACAGGTTTTCTGTTACTGACTTCAGCTTTCTCATACAAGGTTATTGCATTAGATTCCAATTACATTAAACTATTAATGATATTATCATGATAATGATATTACTTTATAACACCCCAAACTCTTCTTTCCTTAAGATAATATTCTACATGACAGCAAAGTATTTTTTATGTTCATATCCCTTTCAGAGAACTGACATTAATAACAGAATAAATGTAACTTATTTGAAAAGATGTATCTTAAAAATTCTTATTTTAAAAAACAACTGTATGCCACTTTGCACAGAGTTTATTTTGGAATTAAAATTATCCTGATCAGACCATACAGGTTCTTTACAAAGGGTCAAATGCTGGTACTATTCAAGTCCAAAGATACACTGACCAAGCTTTGACACAAAGCATGGGATATTTATTTTTCCCAAACACGTCTTCTTAGACTTTAAACAAGACCAAATGTTGATCATTTCTCATAGTCATTCATTTATAAAGTTCATTTTGATCTAGTTTCTATTTTCTCCATACTGATACACAAACTGGAAGTGGAAAGGGTAAACAAAAGGCAGTTTCTTACCTATATCTTTTATATTTGCAGTTTCCTTAGTTTCTGTATCAGAGAAGGCTGGTGATCCTGCTCACTGCTGTGACCTCACTCACATGGTTTTCAGCATCATCAAAGCCATAATAGTCTACAAAACATTAAGCAAATGAAGACAACCTGTGTTCTTATCACATTACACTTCAGCATAAATATTTAAATAATCAGTATTTAGGATAAGTGAATAAATAGCAGTTCATCATTACATTCCAGTGTTAGGAATGTTACATCAGCTTTTTTTAAGAAATCAAGGAACTGAAAACTGTTCTCACAACAGGCAAGAAACCTTGGAGGAACAAGCTTAATCTTGCCCTGAACTCTATGCATGCTGTGATTATGTCTACATTACATGTGTGTTTGCCATTATACTATAAATTATTTTACAAATACCTCTATTTAGGTGTAGCCCAGATTAAAAGAAAAATCAAAGGCAAGAGGTTATAGATATAAAACTGAATAACATTACAAGCAAAACATAATTTTCAAAATGTTACTTCTTATACTGGAAATCTACTACTGATGCAGAGAATAACCAGTAGCATTTCCAATGTATCAAGTTTGGTTCAGAGATAATTAAAGCAAAACAATCTAGCATTGAAAAATTAGCCCTCATTCTTAGCCTATGGCAGATCCCTAGGAAAGAGCAACTCAGAGATCTGTTGGAACCACTGCTGTTTACCTATGAAAGGAAAAACTTAGCAAGGGCTGTGGGCTGCCAACTTTTTCAGGAGTATATTATGGGAGACAGTGTCAAAGGCTTTGCTGAAGTCCAGATAGACTACATCCACAGTCTTCCCCTTATCCACCAGGAGGGTCACCTGATCATAAAAGGAGATCAGGTTGGTCAAACAGGACCTGACCCTCCTAAACCCATGCTGGCTGGCTCTGATCCCTTGTCCATCCTATAGGTGCCATGCGATTGCACTCAGGATGATCTGCTCCATAACCTTGCAAGGCACTGAGGTCAGGCTGACAGGCCTGGAGTTTCCCGGGTCCTTCTTGCAGTCCTTTTTGTAGTTTGGCGTGACATTGACCAACTTCCAATCGTCTGGGACCTCCCCAGAGAGCCAGACCTGTTGGTAAATGATGGAGAGTGGTTTGGCAAGCTCTTCTGCCAGTTCCCTCATCACCCTAGGATGGATCTCATCTGGTCCCATGGACTTGTGTGGATCCAGGTGGTTAAGTCACTGACTCTTTCCTCCTGGAATACAGGGGGACTGTTTGGCTTCCTGTCCCTGTCTACAAACTCCAGAGGACAGTTGTCCAGAGGGCCACCTGTCCTACTGGTGAATCCTGAGGCAAAGTAGGTGTTAAGTACCTCAGCCTTCTCCTCATCCCTGTTAACTATGTTTCCCCCCAAGTCCCACAAGGAACGGAGGTTTTCCTTGCCCCTCCTTTTGTTATTAATGTATTTATAGAAGTGCTTTTTGTTATCCTTAACAGAAGTAGCCAAATTGACTTCAAATTGCACTTTTGTCTCTCTAATTTTCTTTCTGCATGACCTAGTTATACTCCTAAACTCATCCTGAGTAGCCAGCCCTATTTTCCATAGTCTGTAAGCTCTCTTTTTATCCCTGATTTCCTTCAGAATCTTCCTGTTCAACCAAGCTGGTCGTCTACCTCACCAGCTTGCCTTTTGACACACTGGTACAGCCTGTTCCTGTGCACTCAAGACTTCCTTCTCGAAGCACATCCATCCCTCCTGTACCCCCTTGTTTTCAAGGTTTTTTTCCCAGGGTATGCTCTCGACCAGTCTTCTGAACAGGTGAAAATCTGCCCTCTGGAAGTCCAGCGTAGAAGATAGAAGAACCTAAATTATTAATTGTAAGTGTATATAACTCTATATAAGTATTTAAGCTAAATACATATGCATGTAACTGTATATAATAGTGGGAGAAAACTATATATATATGTAACTATATATAATGGGGGAAAAAAAGGTAGGCAACCAAGGGGGTGTGAGGGAGGGTGATCCTTGGCACGACTAACCTGGCCCAGCAGCCCTGCTGCTGCCACTGGTCTCCCAGGAAATGCTAATCAGTGCCCCAGTTGCAGGAGGCAATCAAAGCTCCACTGGTAAGGAATGGCTCCACTGCCATCTCAGCATAGCAGCGACCCTCGGTGGTGGGAGGTCACAGGGGTTAGGTCTTGCAGAGGTGCCTCCTGCATGTCCTTTGCTGCAGGCTGAGGAGACCAAGCAAGCAGATTCCAACACCAAGGTTTCTGCTCCTCTTCAGTTTAATTCATCTGAATTGAGTTGAAAAAGCTGTTAAAGGGTGCACTGTCCCTTCTCTTGGAGGCCAGCAGCCTGGGTAAATCTCAAGTTTGCCAAGGGTGGCCAGGCCCCTCACTGGGGGTAGGAGGGTAGCAGGTGCAGTTCCCTTGTCAGGGCTGCCTGCGGCTTCTTCATTTTCTAGAAGGGAATACTCATGCATGGACTCTACAGGGCCAAAGCACAGAGCCTTTCCTTCATTGGGGTCCCAAAGAATCTTTCTTCTCCCCTGACCCATGTGTTTGTTCACTGTAGACAGCCAGAGATCCTTCCTTGGCAAGCTACACTTTAATAATAGATCTCCCCAATTAATACTGTCAAATATGACTCAAAATCAAGACCCAAATCTATGAAGACTAATGATAGATATTTCATTGACCTGTTATCCATCTGATCCAAAAGCAGATCACACTGTCTTCAACATGTATAGGTATTGGCAACCATGAATCCAATCTTTCTTTCAGTGGTAGTTCTAAGAACAAGGACTGCAGGATTTGGCTCATTAATAGATTAACCTTAATCATATCGAATGGGAGGGGGAAGGAATAGCATTACCTTTAATGACAGGCTGAACACCCCACTCCCCTTACTTTCTCCTACTATATCTATGTATATAAATCAACAACACTGCTATGAGACTCAGTCCTTCTTACAACAACAAAGCTAATAACACAGTTTCATCCAGATTAGACTATGGTCCTTGCAGGTAATCTTCACACCTGCTTTACACTACACACTATGAATCTATAGGTTTATATATACATGTACATGTGTATATAGCTAAAGACATTCAACAGGTTCAAGAATAGCAAAATAGGTTATTGTTAGTAGACAACTACAAATCCAAAGGGCTCCTTTTCTCCTTCTCCTTTCACATTCCCTCCAAGAAAGGTCCATAAAAATGTATTAATTTTTATATCATGCATTTACCATTTAGTTGGGAAATTTAATTGTCAGAAGTCTGGAGTTTTCTTTCCTCTAAATTAAAATAATGGAGGTAAGAGCTAATTAATGTGCTCATTACAGAGTGTGCAATCTATGAAAGTGTTGTGCATTTTAAAAATCTTAATGGACTTTTTCATTGTATCTCTGTGGGACTACTATTTCACCCTCCCTTCTGGAACTAGTCAACAGAAACAAGAAAACAACTTCTGATTCACACAGGAAAGGCCAAATCTGCCCTAAAAGGCAGCACACTCAAGTTCTTTATAAAATTAAATATTTCACATATTGAAATAAATATTTCCATTTCAATTGAAACAAATAATGAATTTCTTCTATGTTAATGTGCATTAATGGCAACTTTTGGAAGGCATAGATGCACTCATGGATATATCTATTCATGCAATCAAATTCTGGACTAGTAAATATAGTTTCCTTCACTGCCATATTTTGTACAATACTCAGCTTTTGTTACTGTCAGTGCAACAGCCCCACTAGCACTATGGCTTACAGAGTTTTGTATTTTCTTTCTACCTGCCATGAATGGAATTTAAATGTGCTAGTGTAATTTTGGTCTTTATACTTCAAGTCTGGATTATCCTAATTCCTATTATTGTTCCTATCTTACATTTTGTTACATAAGAAATTAAGAAAATACAAGTTTTTCACAAGCCACTCTGAGTGGTCTCTGTCAGTATTACTACAAATGACAAATGCTGCAGATATCGTTACTGTTTAGAAATGTACTAGGTAGTGTGGATGGCACAGATGTATTAATCAAAAGTGTAGTTACTCATTGCTTTGCAGTTTTATGCTAAGAACTGCATGACATTTAATGAAACTAACAAAATTACTGTCAATTAGATTAAAACCACACGTTCTAATAAAATATGTAACTAGCTCCTTGCAATGTATTTGAACTGTTTCTTTTTCTTAGTCTGCATTGTACCAATTGATATATGAATCCTAAATAGAGGACTGAACTGAATAGCACTTATAATAGGAACTATTATCAAGTGGGGGAAAAAAAGGTAATAAAAACTGAGAGAACTGGAAACATTTCTTCTGGTACCTGGATGTACACTGAGATGTATTAATATATTTCACAAACACCTACAGAAATATATTACCCACCATTACTTTGTTTATCAACTTCAGCCTTATTTCTTCTAATTATTCAAGGATAAATCTTTCCCTGGACTCAATGCAGAAGCAACCTGTGTAATATGGAGTACACTTACGTATGTTTTATCAGTCCCAAGCTAGAGTTGGAATAATTGCAAGATACAAGCTTGCTGACACAGTTTATTTTCTAAATTAAATAAAAAACAGGTTTGTAACTTGAACTTCTCAGGAAGTGACAAACCATCTCTATACGTTGAATTCAAGTTCCCATAAGAAATTAAAAAGTTCATCTGAGTAAAATAACTTGTAAATGAACTCATTTTTCTCTGATTCTTTTTTTTTGTTTTGTTTTGTGCATTGTAGACCTGAGCAATGATATTAGTTCTAGTGTGGGAAAATATTATAACTGAAATATGGTAAGTTATTTGCAGATTTCAAGTTTTTCTTTACACTGTGCTGACATTTAGTACAACCCTGGTGAGGAAAACAATACTACTATTCATAGCTCTAGACCTAGATTTCAATTGACTTAAGTAGGCACAATGAAACTTGGTCATTCACTGGTTACTCATATTGTGTTCTCAAATTTTCTCTCGGCAAAAGTATAATGACTCAATATTGTATGGCTACATAGACAAGGGCCCAGAACAAGAGACACTAGTTTTGTCTGATGGTGTGAGAAAGTTATGAAAGGATCTTTTCTTCCAGATGGTGTTAAATTCAGCTACCTTTTTAACATCGGCCTTGCACAG